CCCACCCCCCCACACCGATTCCCTGTCTGCACGTTTGCTCCCTCCGTCTCCCGTTCTATCGCTTCCCCATCCCTCAATTTATTCTCGTGCTCAGTGGCAGCCTTTCACTCCCCGCACTCTCATCTCTCGTGTCTTCCCCCCATCTTTCTCTCCATTCGCTCGCTCGTCCCCTCTCTCCCTGTTTTCCCTGCGTCTCTCGCTTAGTGTAACTGTAGGATATAGGTCAGCAGGACGGCTTGGCTGACTCGTGTCTAGACTCAGCCTCAGTCTTGGGGGCATGCAGTCACACAGTGGAGCACATTGACCAACGCAATCAGCGCACCACACTGGAGCGCCATTGACTGCCTTGCAGTGTGTGTGCATGCGTGTGTGGGCGCTCGGAGGCGCGCGCACACTTAGGCTGAGGGGCAAAGTTCTTCTCAGGAGGCCTTGCTGCACGCCAGGCATTACCAAAGACATTAACACCATCTGTGAAGGAAAACAGTGGTAGAAATGTCAGTGCAAATGTCATTTCATTGCGGGTTGATATTTCAACATGGACAAAGATGACCAGAGGCGCTACTTAGAATTTTTGAATTTCAGACATGCACAAATGCAAAGGCAACACACAGGAAATACATTTTCTTCTGCTATTATTTGAGTACATTTGGGAACTGTGCAGGACGTGAAATGAAAATTTGATACGGCGTGCGTGCAGCTGCCCGGGTTGAGTACACGGTAACCGCTGTAAAAGGGGGGTGGGGTCGGCAGCTGTATGGCGCTGGGTGCTGCAGGGTGCGACGTGCTGTGGGGAAGGGTACATGGGATGACGGTGTGTGCGTGCATACGTGTGCGTGCGTACGTGTGCGTGTGTGTGTGTGTGTGTGTGTGTGTGTGTGTGTGTGTTAGGCCAATGATTCATTCAAGTGAGTATGCCATGGCCCGCCCCTCTCAGTCGGGCTGTGGTCCAGATGTGATCCCCCCTCTTTCTCCCTGGAAACTGAGTCAGTGCCCGCACCCAGACTGTAAGTTAGTTCCCTGTCTGCACACTCAATGAGGTTAGCTCTGTAGCACATATATCTATCTATTTATCTATCTATCTATCTATCTATCGATCTATCTATCTTTCAGTACATCTGTCATGACCTGCCTGGCAACAGTGGTGCCGCCCTTTTGTGACCTGCTGAAATATGGATAGAAGAGTACCGTACTATTGAGAATTGTGTTAATGTGCACGTGTTTGTTTTCAGCAGTTTCAAAGAAAAGTGTGTCGACTTGTTTAGCGGTGGCATTTTGTGTGTATGAAGACAAATCCAATCTCTAATCTGCCTGCACTGTTACCCTACTCAAAGACCTTTGTTGCTGTTTCGTTCTTCCCATCTAATTTCACTGTAGTTGACTTTCTTTTGCCCCATTAGCATTAAGTTATTCAAGTAGTTAATTATATGGTCATTCTCTCGAAAGACCATTTCAAAGGTTAAAAGTTAAAAATAGTTTCCATCTTGATGGTAAATAGGGAAAACCACAGGAAAGGATGATGTTATACCTGAATCACATACACACTGACCTGACATTTAATAAATAATATTCAAACAATTCGACTAATTAACATCCATTATGACCCAATTCTTTTCAATTTTCCAAGCTTATCATATCATCCAATAGCGTCTCCATACAGTAATCTGACACATGATGTAAATACACGGATGCTGGGCCAGGCATTCACACATGCATGGATGGCTGTGTATATACTGCACACACACACACACACACACACGCACACACACACACACACACACACACACACACACACACACACACACACACACACACACACACACACAGAATGTGTAATCACACCTGGTTACATCATCCAGCTAGGCTCTGTCAATATCAAGCAGTTTGGAAAATCAATCTGTTGTTCCTGTTGTTGACTTTTTTTTTTTTTTTACTCTCTTAAGTATATCTTGGTGTCAAAACCAATTTCATTATGTTCTGTCTGAGAAGGTGCTGACAAGCAGGGAATCTCATTTCAAGGCATTATTAGGCAGGTACTCAATGTGGTTAGGATTACACAGCAATGTTGCCTTGGCGCACGCTCCCACTAACGGTAGAACTGAAGGACGTTGCATTTGGTCAAACATATCACTCACATCTTCTCTTGGCGGAACAACAAACAATTTGACTTTCACGTTTTAATTTGGGTTTGTCAATTAATAAACTATGAAAGTCATTCAGTCATTATTATACTGTATGTATTGTGCATATTGTGGACCCAAATGGGTTGCATCAGTGGCGGGCCGTGCATTTCAACCTTAGGCCTTCAGTGACGTCACATACATTAACACAATTTCGGCTCGTCAAGCAGCACTTAATTTCAGGAGCATTTAAAACCATCAAGTATGCATTCACAATTAAGAGCAGAAAACTAAATTTACAGATATTGTCAAAAATAAAAAGATGATTTAAAATACTAAATAAAATGCCACCCAAATTACGCTGTGTGAACTTAAACAAGTCTGTCCAATAAATTGTGCAATGTTGCAGTTTCATATAAGACACCAACCACACAATAACAAAACAAACTATTCTTTGAAAATAAAGTAAACAGATCATTTGCATTTTGAGAGTCGGCTATACAACAGCAAAAAACTGACGATGTTGAGCAGGTGAGATTGAACGAACTATAGTGCACGAAGGTGACTACAATGCGCCATTATAAATTGCAGGTGAGCAGATTTATTTGATACATTTTTGTATCTTTGTCATTTTATTTCGTTACCATTAATTTAATACTAACGAAATAAAATGACAAGAAGAAATGGAAAATAAAATTCATTTACTCACCAATGT